ATTTTAGTATTTTCTTCCTTTATCATTTTCCTGAATTCTTCCTTTTTTTGCCTGTATTTTCCGTGATTTTGTCTGCCTTTTCCATGAATTTGTCTATTTTTTCCTCATTTTTGTCTGCTTGTTGCTTCAACTCTTCGATAGCTCTGAATATTAGAGATTTGAATTCCCTATCAGGTAATCTAGTGCCTTTTCTGCTACTGGAAATTCAGCTGATGTTTTATTTTGGACGCCTACTTGAACAATCCTGTCCTGTTTTTGTAAATGTTTTGATATTGTCTGCTGTCTTTGGGGCATTCTGTAGTTATTTTCCTCATTTATTGATTGTAGATTTGTTTGTTTTGTCCTGCTTTTTTGTTTCATTTGGCTATGTCTGAGCAGACAGGCTGTGTGTTCTTTGTTGTTTGCTCATCTGTAGGCATGATAGTTTTCACTTCCTTTTCCAATGAGCGGGGTCATTTGCTCAGGTATGGTACAGCAGGGCAGGTTCAGCTGAAGGGGAGTTGCTGGGATGGGTTGTTTGTGGCACTTACTAGAGCTGACAGGGTAGGCCGAGAATCACTGCAGGGCAGATTCTAGTAGGCTGTACCTGCGCTGCTTGGGGATGTGAAGTTCAGCATATGGTGCAGGTAGGCAGGAAGGAGGGGGGAGATTGTGATGTGTGGAGCTAAGATGGGTATGGGAAAGAGGAGAGAGAGGAGAGAGGAACAGGAGCCAAAAACATACAAACAAAGAAAGAAAAAAGAGCGCTAAGGGAGCTTGCCATTGGAGTGGAGAGATGAGAGACTGAGGAATGGAGAAAAACAAAAAGGAAAAAAAAGAAAAATGATAAAAAAAGAATAAATAAATATTAGGAAAGAAAAAAGAAAAGCCCACAGGTATCCCACCGGTGCGGCTGCAGGTACTGGGGAAGTTGCTCCCAGGCCATGAAATACAGCTTGGCTAGAAGGGGTAAAGGTGTCACATAGCGCCACTTATTCAGGAGATAGGAAGAGAAGGAAGTATAGAGAGATGAGAAACTGAGAAATGAAGAAAGAGCAAAGGGGAAAAAGAGAGAGAAAAAAAACAAAACAAAATCCAAAAAACCAAGAAAAATGAAATGCTCCATGGATCTCCCTGTGCATCTGCACAGAGTAAGGGAGCAGCCCCCAAGCTGTGCACTACTGTCCAGCTAGAAGGAGCTCCCAGGCCGAAAAAGGAAAAAGAAAACAAACAAGTCAAAACAGAGAAAATCAGAACAAACAAACAAACAAACAAACAAAAAAAGCTGCGGGGATCTCACCAGCTTGGCAGCACAGATCAGGAAGCAGCTTCATAGTCGAGTGGTGTTTTGTAGCTTTTCAGGAAGAAGCAAAGATGCCACACGGAGCCTGGTATTTGCGAGAAAGGAGGAGGCGGTGTTGAAAGGTAAGGAAAAAATTGAAAGAAGAGGGAAAAAAGCAACATCAGCAGCCAACAAATGGCACTCACGGACTGGCCAGTGTGGGCGGGTGGAATCCAGGTGGCACTGAGGTGAAGCTTGTGCTTCCTGGCCAAGAGACTGTGGTCGCAGGAAGCAGAGGAGGCCGAGTGGAGGTGAAGAAAGGTGGGGGGTGGGAAAGCAAATATCGCTAGTTACTGGCTGTTCTGTCTCCTGCTGGAAGCTCTGTGAAGCTGCTTTCTCATGCTCCATGTTTGCTAGTCTCTTACAGGAGTCCAAGATGGCAGACACATGCTGCAGTAGCTGATAGGGGACCTCTGCATGTATCTCTTCTCACTCTCTATTCTCTATCAGTTTCTTATTTCATTCGATGCTTGTCTGAGTTCTTTAGCTCTTCATTTGATGTTTAGGGTTTCAGGATAGACTTTTGTCTCTGTTTGACTTAGTTTTTTGGATCTTTGCTGTGGAGGGATGGCGTGGTGCTTCTGTCTATAGCACCATGTTGCCTGGAAGTTGAAACTGCTGACCTTTTGGTTAGCAGCTGAATGCTTATCCACTGCTCTAGCTGGGCTTCTGAGCGTTTATAGGGTTCAGCTAATCTGGGCTAGGCTTGGCTAATTTCAACTGGGCTCATTCATGTATTTTGGTCACCTGAAGGGGTCACCATGTGGACCTTGGCTGGGTTTTTCACATGGATGGGAGTCAACTGGCTGATCTGGGAAAGGCTGGGATGACAAGGCAATGAGTCTGGTCCTCCTGCAGGCTAGCGTGAGCATGTCCTTCCCATGGAAATAGAAGAAGGCCCAGTGGTGCAAGCAGTTTTCAAACCTTTGCTTGTGTCACATTAACTAATTTCCTACTGGCCAAATAAAGTCACATGACCTATCCAAGAGTCAGAGTAGGAGGGCACTACAAAGCGAAGTGGCAAAGGAGGAGGTGGATATAAAGAAGGTGAAGCCCCAGGGCTATGTTTGTGATTAATGTACCAAAGATAGGGCAAAATTATGACTTCTGTTCTGGAATTTTGAGTTTGAAGTGTATATGAGAAATCCTTGTAAAGATAACCGATGTGGATGTGGATATAAAGGAGGGGAATTTGGGAGACAGAGTTGCTTAATTGATATAATTTTGGAAGTGATTTCCAAACAGAAGAAAGGGGAACAAAAAGAAGCCAGGGAAACTGTATGACATGAGAAGAATGGAGATTCAAGGACCACGCTGGAAGGGAGACTGAGGAAGAAGGGTTTCAGTGTGACTTCTGGGCTTCCAAGTAGGAGTTTTTTTGTTAACTCTCCAGGAATAGACTCAATGGAATAATAGGAGAAGTCAGAGTGTTGGGAGTTGAGATGTATGTGAGAGTGAGAACATGGAGGTGTTCATGGGTTATAAAGCTTACTCTTCTACGAAGGGGAGAAGGAGACTAAAAGTTTGAACCTGTTTATGTGTTTAGGAAAAGAAGTAGGCAGAGAAGAAGAGATTAACAATAAGAATGGGATAGGGAGGTAGAGGTGAGAGAGAGGAGAGAAGAGGAGAGGAAAGGGAGATGATAATTGATGGGACTAAGCCTTAGAAGAGGTGGTGACCTCTGGGTTCCAGAACTCAGAGGAACAATTGTCCTTGAATGGACGAGATTTCCTCTCACTTTGTGACAGGAAGATGAGAGTAAGCTCAGTTTGGATAAAGAAAATTTTGTGGGTAATTAAAGCAAAACAAACCAACAACAACAGCAACAAAAATCCATAAATCTCTTAATTTCAAATATTTCCTACTTCCTAGAGTAAGGCCAACAAAGACTTAGTTTCAACAAAACTTACAGCCAAGTTTAATTTTGCCCTTGAAATTTTTTGTAATGATGCCATCTTATTTCTCCTGGCCTGGTCTGGAATTTTGTCCTTTGATTTATGTTTCCTGGGCTGTATCTCAAGAAAGGAGGTTTGAAATTTCTTATCCTTTTTTGTCTGTGCCTCAGTCTTTCCACCTGCACAGTTGGAAAGGACAGTCTCCAGCCCCAGAGCTCCCCTAACGAGTTCATATGCTCCTTCCTTGGTTCTCTGTGGTGGTGCTTCTGCCCCGCCACCACTAGGGGACGGCCTTCCCATGGAAACTCCAGAATGCAAACCCAAGGCTCCCTATGTCACACTGCTAGGGTCCCAGGGCAAATCGAGTCACCTGACCTAGCCCAGAGTCAGAGTGTGAAGACACCACAAAATGATGTAACGGAAGGTGAGGTGTATCTAAAGAAAGGTGAAGACCCTGTGCTACTTTTGTAATCGATCTACTACACATGGAAAGCAATTATGAATTCTGTTTGGAATTTTTTAGTCCAAAGTGTATGTGAGAATGCTGGTGGAGATAACTCATGGGGTTTTGGATATAAGGGAGATAGGGTTGGTTAATGCATATAATTTTGGAAGTGATTTACAAAGAGAAGCAGTGTGCATGGAAAGAAACCAGGCAGAGCGTGTGAAGTGATAAGAGTAAGATTCATGAAACAGACGCCGGGACTTCTGCTTTTATGGAGCAGAATGAGAAAAAGAAGTCCAGGAAAGAGGCTTAGCAGAGTGATCTGAGAGGTGACAAGCCAAACAGAAGAGTGACCAAGTCAAGATGGAGACAGTTTCAAGATAGAGTCAACAGTGTCACATGCTGAATGGAGACTGAGGAAGAATGACTGCAGGGTGGGCACTAAGGCTGCCAAGTAGGAGATTTTTGTTAACTCACCAAGAATAGATTCAAAGGAATAGTAGAAGTCAGACTATTGGGGGTTTAGAAGAAGGTGAGTGGTGAGAACATGGAGATGTTCATAGATTATAATGCCCACTCTTCTGAGAAGGGAAGAAAAAAAAGCTTGCAGAAATTTGAACATGTTTGTATCTTTAGAAAAAAGAATAGGTAAAGATGAAGAGATTAACAATAAGACAGAAAAGAGAGAGAGAGAATAATTGATGGGACCAAGCCTTAAAAGAGATGGTGACCTGTGAGGTCCAGATCTCAGGGGAAAAGTTACTCTTTGGTGGGGAGATTTCCTCACACTTTGTGACAGGAGAATGAGGATAAGATCAGTTTATATGCAGAAGAGTTGGTGGGTAATTAAAACAAAAACAAAACAAAATCCATAAATCACTTAATTACAAACATTTTCTACTGCATAGAGGAGGTCCACTCAAGACTTTGTTTTGACAAAACTCCATGGCCTAGTTTGATTTATATCCTTGAATAATTTTGAAAAAGACCATTCTTGTTCTTCCTGGTTTGGTCCGAATTTTTGTCCTTTGATTTATGTTTCCTGGGCTGATCTCAGATAAAAGTTTTGAAATTCATTTTTGTCTTCTCTCTGTGCCTCGGTCTTTCCACCCGTGTGGTTGGAAGGAATAGGACCTGTCCCAGATGCTCCCCTAAAAGTTCTCCTAAGATCTCCTTCCTTGGTTCCCTGTGGTGGGGCTGTGGCCCGCCACCAGTAGGGGGCAGCCTTCCCATAGAACCCCCAGAATTCAGGCTGGATGCACCCCTAGAGATGGGCAGGGTCCTGAGTCTGCACCTGGGACAAGGCAGCCTCCTGGGCTTCACAGTTTCCCTCCCACAGGTGTGGGCTCTGCCCCTCAAGTGCACATGGAGAGGCTGGAGGAGGACGGGGTCCATGTGACCTGCACAGCCTTTGGGTGGTTTCCGAAGCCCCAGGTTCAGTGGAGAGACTGTAGTGGAGAGACGTTCCTAGATTCCTCTGAGGCCCACACCCAAGACGCTGAAGGGCTGTTTCGCGTGGAGGCTTCACTGTTGGTGAGAAACAGCTCTGTGGGGATAGTGAGCTGCTCTATCCTCAACCCCATCCTGGGCCAGGAGAAGGCAAAGGCCATTTTCATCCCAGGTAAGCGCTGTTCCTGCTCACAGCAAGGTCGGGTGGAGGGGGACTGAGTCCCTGAGCGTGCTGGGCTGGGCTGGCCTGGGTACGCCCTGATGCGGTCTGTGGTTGGGCCACAGAGCCCTTTTCTCCCCAGGCCTCTCCCTGGAAGCCGGCTTTTGCTGTGAGCCTGAGCATATTGGTGCTCGTCATCCTTGGGGCTGGCTATTTTCTCAGGAAGGAACATTCAGCAAAGGTGCAGGCGGTGAAGGCCAGAGGTAAGACAAGGGAGGGGCCAGGCTAGATGAGGGCAGAGCTTGTGCAGAGAAGTAGAGCTGACAGCAGGACCAGAGCCCGTGGTTGCAGCCTCCAGGACGACCCAGGGCCCCTGTCCAGAGCAGGAAACTCAGGAGATCCAGAGAGGGCAACTGGGGCCCTTTAGGCTCTGATGAGTCTGGAAGGAGAACTTTCTCCTGTATACAGAGGGGATCGTTTTTGTGTGTTCTCCAGGCACACAGTCTTTTCTTTTCTTAGAGAAGGGAGTTCATGCTGTTTTTTTTTTTTTAAATCTTTTTCAGATGAACTCCAGGCAGAGCTGGGTAAGTTCTTCTCTCCCTCCCAAACTCTCTGTGTCTCGTTTGGGGAAGATATTATTGTTCTTAGCTCACCTCATTTCCTGTGTGTTGCTTTTCAGACTCTAGGATAAGTCTTTCCCAAGAATGGTGAGTAACTCTCCTGAAGTCCCTGGGTCGACTGTTCCGCATGTGCCCAGGTGTGCTCTCACCCTGTGTGTCTCTGGCATGGACATGAGGATCCTGTTTACTGAGGGCAGAAGTGGAAGATAGTGGAGGCAGGAATCCTGCTCCTGGTGTTGTTCCTGATCAGGGCGTCTGCTTCCCACCAGTGCTGGAAACCTGGATTCTATCATGCATCCTGGGTGTCATGGATTGAATTGTGTCACCCAAAAATATGTGTATCAATTTGGCTAGGCCATGATTCCCAGTATTGTGTGATTGTCCACCATTTTGTCATCTGATGTGATTTTCCTATGTGTTGTAAATCCTATTTCTATGATGTTGATGAGATGGGATTAGCAGCAGTTATGTTAATGAGGCAGGACTCAGTCTACAAGATTGAATTGTGTCTTGAGCCAATCTCTTTTGAGATATAAAAGAGAGAAGCAAGTGAAGAGACATGGGGATCTCATACCACCAAGCAACAAGAGCCAAGAGAATACCATGTTCTTTGGACCTGGGGTCCCTGTGCCTGAGAAGCTCTTAGACCAGGGGAAGATTGATGACAAAGATCTTTCCCTAGAGCTGACACAGAGAGAAAGCCTTCCCCTGGAGCTGGCACCCTAATTTGGACTTCTAGCCTACTAGACTGTGAGAGAATAAATTTCTCTTTGTTAAAGCCATTCACTTGTGGTATTTCTGTTATAGCAGCACTAGATGACTAAGACACTGGATCTTCTCATTCCAGGCGTGACCTGTTCACCATATTGTAGGTTTTCTAGCCTTCAATGCATATATCTTTCAGTCTGCACCTGGAAACCAAAAGGGATTTCATGAAAGGAGCTGTATAAATAAATGGGGTCATTAGTTTAGGTCCCAAATACCTTCTTCCTGGGAACGCCAGCGCTCTCCAGCTCCTGCAGGTGTTGATCAAAAAGTGATGGGAACCCTCATCTGTTGCTGGTGGGAATGCAAAATGGTACAGCCACTTTGGAAAACAGTGTGGCAGTTCTTCAAAAAACTAAAAATAGAACTACCATATGACCCAGCAATCTCAGTGCCAGGTATATACCCAAAAGATTGAAAAGCAAGAACACAAACAGAATTCTGTATGGCAATGCTCATTGTAGCACTATTCACAATAGCCAAAATGTGGAAACAATGGAAATGTCCATCAACAGAAGAGTTGATAAACAAAATGTGGTATATACTTATAATGGAATATTACTTATCCATAAAGAGAAGTGAAGTCTCAATGCATGCCACAATATGGATGAACCCTGAAAACATGCTAATGAATTAAGTCAATCACAAAAAGACAAATACATGATCTCACTCATATGAAATTGGCAAACATATGGAAACCAAAGTTTATTAGGAGGAGTTACTGTTCAGAGGGCACTGAGTTTATGTTAATGGTGGTAGCACAATTTAGAAAAAGAGAGTGATAATGGTTGCACAACACAAAGAATGTAATCAATGTCACTGAAATATACATGTAAAAGTGGTTTAATTGACATATGTTTTTTTATGAGTATTTGTTCCAGAATAGAAAAATATGATGAAGAGAGAACTGGGCTGAGTGTGGAGGGAGATGAGATGAAATCAACTGAGGGCTCCCTAGTATAGAGGTGTTATTATCTCTAGAAATAGTTTATCTGAGAATGAATGGCCACTTTTACCCTGAAGTTGGTGTCATAGCCCTGTTTTTCCTTCATTTCTCCTTCTGGTTACTGGTTATTTCCTAGTTATATATTTGGCTAAAAAAAAAAAGATTGGCTATAATAATGCTTTCTTACAATTATGGAATAATTTATACTTTTTGTTCCTATATATATTTTCACACATATATTTTTGGATTCTTAGTAGCAACACTGAATGCTGGTAGAACAGACCTTCTGGAGGTTGTTGTGACACAGAACAGCTAAGTGATGTGCACAGCAAAAGTGTGCACAGTGACACAGCAGCAGCAGCACAGTGTGGAACTTGACTGCACTGTGGTCATGGGAAGTTCCCACCACCCCTGGCCAGCTCTGCACATTGCAGGAGCTCATCTCCCTCTGGCCTCTCTCTCCCTCTGGATAGTTACCCCTTGTCTTAGAATAGGTTCTCTACAGAAGGAAAACCAGTGAAGTGTCTATATATATATATATATATATATATATGTATATATAA